TTATTATTATTATTACTATACCACAAGCAGATAGTGAGAATTACTTGCATATATAAATATCAAAATAACAAAGTGTGGATATTTGTGGAGAGTTACTAGTAAGTCCAAACTTCAACATTACAAATCTCAAATTGACAAAGTGTGGATATTTGTGGAGAGTTACCTCAAAGACAACCTCCGAATGTCGATTATACAAGAAAAAAATTTACCAACGTTTCAAGTTCGGATATGCAGCTTGCAGCGTCGTTGAGGTTCAGCGTTAGTGCCTTTCCACAGCTTCGCGATGCAGGCGTACCAGACCGTGTGGGTGGCGGACGGACATGTCTGGCACTAGGCGGGCTTGGCGGTGTGCAGCATCTTCAGCAACCCTAGTTCTAGCCCCACGGACAGAGGTGAGGGAAATTGTGCGCAAAGAAGCAAACAAACCTCGTCAGCACTAGAGAGACAAAGAGCGAAAGAGTTGAACCGTGCCTAAATTATAACGTTGGGTGACACAAGGAAAATCAACAATATTCCAAATTTACGGGTATTTTGGTAAAGATTTCCATCATTTTTTTTATAATTAACCAAACATAGTTAGTAAAATTAATCCAACTTTCCTGTCAAAATTTTTGGCCTACCAAACATCTTTTCGTAACTTATCCCGTAAAACATTTTTCCCACATTTTTTCGGACAATTTTTTTTCCAGATAAAAAAAATTTCCTCCTATACCAAACGCTCCCTTAATTTGCCTTAACTTCCTCTTTCCATTGACTTTTCTTAGGCTTTCTAGACGAAAATTAATTTGATGATATTTCTCTTTTTTTCTCTTTTTCTTTTTCTTTCTCTCCCTCTCCTCTCTTTTCACATTCTCTTTATCTCTCTCTTCTCTCGAACCATGTATCCGGAGCATGTTAAATTTGCTCCTTCTAAACGGCCTCTCATATGGGCCGTAACAAAAATAAACAAGTATCTCACCTATCAAGTGCGCAAGACGATAAATCCAACCACTGTAGCAAATCCCATGGCATAGTATATAGATGGTTTTGCACCAAAAAAGAAGGATATAGATCATTTCAAGAAAAAATATATGCACCCAGGATATTTTTTTTTGGAGATTGCACCCAAGATTTCAAGTAAACGAAATCAGTAAAGTCCAAAACATTTTATATCAGACAAACAACAAATCCAAACTACTCGGCACATTCCACTCAAAATGTAGCCTGGACAAGACAATGTATCACTAAATTAAAGTTGTCAAATAACTCGCATGAATATGACAAACACTGTATTTTTTTATTTTATTTTTGGTAGGTACAATTACAAACACTGTATTTCAATTAGCTTATTTTTAGAAAACATTTGTTTTTAATTTTTAAAGATAACTTAAAAAAAAGTTTTTCTTTGATAAACTTTTTGAAACGTGCTTCCACGTTATCTACCGTTCGTATGCTCGGCTCCCGCTAAAGAAAGCATGATTTCATGTTACTTGTTCGCGTCACCAAAAGGCCATGAATTATAACACGGTCATCATATCAGCTACGTACTATATTGTTTGTAACAAACATATTTAAATTGGAAACTTCAAAGTTAAAAGAGAGTAACCTTAAATGGGCCAGCATTGCGCCTTGAATTTGGCATCATTGTTAATTTCTACAATCATATAGTACTTTTTTTTTATAAATAATAATGAAAGTGGATCAAATAAAGATTTTTTTTATTAAATTACAATATTTGCCGAGAATTTTCAACCGAAACCAAGAGAAGAGTCTGCTAGGCGAAACCAGACCTTGAACTTGAATGCTACAAAATTAGCCATTTTAACAGCACAATTTCCCCCCGTTGAATGCAAGTTGAAATCCCTACACCAATCATTGTTTGTTGACAATTAACACAAGGCGTTCTAAATTTTTTGTGTGTGGATAAAACCTAAATATACTCACGGGAGATAATTTTGTTGAGAGCAAATCTATGATTAAGGTTTTAAACCATTTTCAAAGGTGATACTGGAAATGATCGAACACATACTCTCATCCCCACGTGCTCAGTTTTCATTTGCCAACTGAGCTACTATCATTTGGTGACGAGCTTGTTTACTATGGTCCGGAAGCAAGTGCTCTTTTTCTAAATATAGGAGGAAAAAAGGATTAAGAGTGTTAGAGATATATAAAATCATTAATGTAACCTCACCTATCAGCTTAAGTTTTTAGGTTGAATTGGTTCTTTACATAGTATCAGAGTCTCGGTGTCACGAGTTCGATCCTCACCGCCCCCATTTAATTAATAATTAATCAAGTCTTGTGAAGTTTCTCAGCACAGGTAAGTGAACCTGTGCATTGTCCACCCTTCAAATCCATTAGACTTTCGTGTGAGGGGGCGTGTTAGATATATATAAAACCATTAATATAACTTCATCCATCAGCTTAAGCTTTTGGTTGAATTGATTCTTTAGAAAGAGAAAATTTGAAAAGAAGAAAGGGATATAAATAAGATGAAATTTTATCTTTTTTGGAAAAGGATCACAAAATAGTAACATAGTCCTGCAGCACAATACAAAAATCCTTAGGTGGCATTTTAAAATATAATTGGTAGTTATCCTCCTTTGATTAAATGAAATTTATAATAATTACAAACATTTTTCTTTTAAGTTGTTGCAAAAGTTTGCCTTTCCCAACTCCTTCTGATCATATCAATCAAGCTTAGTTTCTTTTACACTCTTATTGCAATTTGGTCCCCTCCAGTAGAGTAGAGATAATTGCTCCTCATCTTTCTCATGCTTGTCTTAATTGCCTAACTTGCATTGCTCTGGTTGATAGGTTGTTGGGCGTGGGGTAATTCCTAAGGTTGGCTTCCAAGTAACTTCTCATAATTTTTTTGCAGATATGAAAACAAGGACATAACTGTTGCAGTTGCACAATTTTGCTCAAAATGGAAATGAAATGTTCGTTCAGTGGCCATTCTCGTGAATCTTATAACTACACATTTATTGAACCCATTATTGCTTTATCCCATTGCAATCTCTAGAAACTCAATTTTTTTATTTTTTCTACAGGCCCTGGCCGGCACCGTGGGCAGATAACAGGGTGCAACTTTGGCTATTAGGATCATTCATACATGTTTTGGTTTATTTGCTTACACTTTTGACTCTTCTAACTTTGAATGGGTCCATTTTTTTTTCATTCATTTACATATATAAATATGGTTATATATAGTTCTGCGGCATTATAATGTACACTTGGAGACAAGTTGATATTACTAAGAAAAATTCATGAATTACATTTTCTAAGTAACCGCGAGCAATGCCAATGAGTACGTGTTTCCCAATGACAAGAACAAGTCACATTTTTAAAAATAACATTATCACAGTAACGCGTATGTAGTGTGTACGAGAGATACCATAATTAAATTTTTTTACCAAAAGCAAATTAATTACCTTTGTTAAAAAAAAAACACATAATCAAAGTAAACCTACAATTTCCACAATTATTAATTAAGCTGAAATGTGTGATTATGAATAGTATTAATTGTTTGCACTTTTTTGGAACCACATTTATTGTTAGTTGAACTTTAGACTCGTAAACCCTCAATAATTTTTGTCCTAAACTAACGCATATTTCCACAAACATTGCACTCATATGTTATGCTGTGAAAAAATTTAGGTATGAAGCAGTTGCTGTTCTGGTAGTTGTGTTTTTTATAGTTTGTTGAAAATATAAAATGTGATTGATTGCCATTTAAAACGCATTGGTCCAAATTCAACAAAATTCGGGCAAACGGTGTCTATACTTATAAATAAGACAATTTCCAAAAACAAAAACGAACTGAATTATTTGTAGAAATTCCTAGCTTTTTAGCAATCAACAGAAATATACAAATATTATTATTTATCTTCAATATTTTTAAATCAGAATCTTAACAAACTTTCATAATTTATCTCTTCTCTTAAAATTCTAATAAGTAGAATAAAGATAGAAAAGACATACACAATATTCTATTTCTAAATGGGATAGGATCTTTGACACCGGTGTCAAATTTAAAGTTTGACACTTCATCTGAGAGTCGTTAGATCAAGAAAGATCAATGGTATCACATGTTTACAAATCAGAGTCGTAGATCTTTTTTGATCTAACGGCTCTCAGATGAGGTGTCAAACTTTAAATTTGTCACCGGTGTCGAAGGGATCTTATCCCTTTCTAAATATATTTATTAAAATTAAGGTGGGACCAACAGACCCTCTGTGCTTGAAAGTGGAAAGTGAGAGAGGACCGAGCACGAATCTTTTGGTGGCCTCTTCCCGCCGGAGACAGACAGTGACAAATTTTGTACAAAGGTTGTGGGGGTCCATTCTGGCCTCTTCAAATTTGATTTATTTATTGTTTCTACATTTTATATTGTCCTATGATATATTAATATTGTTTTGAAACAAAAACAATAAGATTATAATAATGATTATAGACATGAAAATAAGGAAATGCAAGAGGTGTAACATAAATCATATGAACCCGGTTACGTATATATGGTATTTATAATAATTTTTTTATGTCTTTATGAGTTTTGTTAATGTCAAACTTGTTAATGAGTGAAGAAGAAGAAAGGAGAAAGTGGTTTGGTTTCCCAAAAAGCTTTGGTGTTTAATAATGGACTCGTGACTTTCGTTCACTTGTCTTTGCTCATCTGTATCCGTTTCATTAACGAATCAAAACTCTCTTTTTCTTTCATTTGTAACCAAATCCACTCTTATTCACTTCACGCCTTAGATCTCTCTCTCCTCTCTCTCCGTCTGTCTTACACTACACATCACAAAGTCGCAATCTGTGTCATTGCTCTTACAAAGGTTGGATTTTTCTCTCTTTTTTGTTGGAATTTATTTTCATGTTTTGTTGTTTTTAATCCTCTGTTCCGGGGCTTGTTCCATCTATGTTTTCTTTTTTTTTTTGTGGGTGTGTTATATATGTATGGGTAGCAAAACTGAGGTACTTGAAAGTTGGAAATGCTAAAGCTTCTGACTTTTGCCAATCTTGTTCTTACTAGTTTAATTGTTGAAGCATTTCAATTCCTGGGTAATTCTGTCTTTGCCCTTCATCGTTTCTTTATTTTTTATTTTTTATTTTTGACAAATTTCATCACTATCCAACTTTTTATGCATTTTTGTTACTATGATGGTTTGTTGGTTTCTCTTCCATTTATTGATGATTTGGACTAGAAGTGTGTTTTAGGCCGCAGTTCCCAAGTTCCATGCTTTATTGTATTGCAAATGGTTGCAAGTATGTGGGAGTTTTTTCACTTGTCACTCACTCTCACTTCTTCTCTGATTTTATTCCTAATTCAACAGAGCTCAGATGGGGTATGTAGTTTATTTTGTACTTATGTTTCAGATTTTACTTTTTATCATGCAGTGGAGGAGCTTAAAGAAGAGCAAACTTTGTTGCTTTGACTAGTTTCAGTTTGTGTGTTGGCAAACAAAATGACTATTGATATGCCACCATCCGTGGCCCAAAGTGTGAGGACAAACAGATCTTCCTTTAGCTCTAGCAACGGCTATGAGGATACTCCAGTGCACAGCTCTGCTGCTGTTACCAATGGTGTTGACTATGACAGTGATGGCTCCAATTTCGCACCACCGTGAGTATCTTCCTTTTCTTTTGAACATATATTGGAATTTTTAATATAACGATTTACATTCTGTTGTTTAATAACTTCTATTATTTGGTAAAAAGGAAATGAGCATGTTATGATTTGGGATGTTGGCAAATGTTGATCCCTGAAATACAAGAGGAAGGCAAAATTTCTGAATCACATTAGCAAATTTTACTTATTAAGCCTATTAATTTTCTTTTTATTTAAGTTGGACCACTAGGAAAGCTTTTGTCCTGTTTTGCTATATACTCAAGCTTAATTCATGCATTCTTTTCTTATGGACAACGATCAACCATGATGTTTACAACTTTTTTTTTCTGATTCCCCCCTTGACCTGATTAGCTAGTTGATGACAAAACCATAATGAGTTTTCTGTTTGCCCATTTGCAATCTTCTTCAATTTTTAATTTTGTAATTTTGTTTATTACAGCACACCAACAAATCTATCAATGGCTATTCCAGCGGAACTTGCCGGAGCTGTACCCTTGATTGATAGATTCCAGGTGGGGAGATGGGGAGATATATACTTTAATCTAGCTATAAATATAAATTTCTTGAATAATATTGCTTATCTATTAATTTTGTGTCTGAATGATCTTTGTCTGACTAAGTTCCTTCCTGCAATCAACGGTAGTTTTTAATTTATTGCTTTATATGCATGATCATTTGTTATCACTGAGTTTTTCTTAATGTCATTTGTTCTAGGTGGAAGGGTTTTTAAAATTGATGCAAAAACAAATTCAATCTGCTGGGAAACGTGGGTTTTTTTCTAAAAGATCTGTAGGCCCCCAAGTTCGAGAGAAATTTACATTTGAGGATATGCTTTGTTTCCAAAAGGTAATCAAATATCAAATTTTCCATAATAAGTAGTTAAATTTTTGTAAAACACATGAAAAGCTAACTCTCAAGTTCCTGCAGGATCCAATACCAACGTCATTGCTTAAGCTGAATGGCGATTTGGCCAGCCGAGCATCAAAATTATTCCAAATAATTTTGAAATATATGGGAATTGATTCATCTGATCGTGTAACTCCAATAAACTTGGATGAACGAGTTGAGCTTGTGAGTAAACTATACAAGCAAAGTTTGAAGCACTCGGAACTCCGAGATGAACTATTTGTCCAGATATCAAAACAAACGAGAAATAATCCTGAGAAGTATGCAATTTTTTTTAGTATTGAGTGTTTTTTCCTGGCCTTTGTTCATTGAAGCTATATATTCTGTGGTTTGTACATTAGTGGTTAATACATTTCTTGTCTCAAAAACAGGGAATACTTGATTAAAGCATGGGAGCTAATGTATTTATGTGCATCATTCATGCCTCCTAGTAAAGACATTGGAGGATATTTGTCAGAATATGTTCATAATGTGGCACATAGCGTGACTACTGATCCTGAGATTCGAGCCCGTGCATTAAACACGTTAAATGCTTTGAAGCACTCTGTCAAGGCTGGTCCTAGGCATATTATACCTGGGCCTAAGGAGATTGAAGCTCTGTTGACTGGAAGAAAGCTTACAACTATAGTTTTTTTCCTCGATGAAACATTTGAAGAAATTACATATGACATGTCAACGACAGTTGCTGATGCTGTTGAGGTTCTTTGAAATATTCATCTGTTTTTATCTCCAATATCTGATAGAAATATGCATAGAGTATATGGAAGTGTGAGAAAATTGAAGTAGGTGAAATAAACAAGACTTTTACTAAACTAGGAATGACTTGAATGAAAGTAATTAGGAAAGGTTAGAGAAAAATTTAGTCTTTTGACTGATTCTACTTAATCTAATTATGGAATTGTATGTGCATCCAATTTCATGTTGGTCCCAGATAAACTCAAAAGGGGTGAATTGAGTTTATTGAAAAAAATTGAATTTAAAAAAACACAACTGCGATAAAATAAAGAGTAAAGGGAAGAAGTGACACAGTTATTTTAACGTGCAAAAAACTCCAACCGGAGGAAAAAAAACTCATGACCCTATTCTACCCTTACACCCTTATCGATCAATTTGGATACTCTATCTAATTTGGAGACAAATCCACTATCGATCAATTCAAAGTACAAGAATAGACCCTATTCTACCCTTATACAAGAATTAACCCAAAACTTTACCCAAGGTTTCCGGAGCCCTACCCTTAGAATTCTCACGAAGTCTAATCAAAGACTCTCCGAAGTCAAACGACTCCTGTCTTTTTTCGCACTGAACAAAGACCGACTTATTTTTAAGCCACGACCTTTTCCAAAGTCAAGAAGAAAATCCAATTTAAAATTAGTTACCTTACCACTTCTAAATAATAAGCAAATAGGTACAAATAAAACCTAAGCGGTGGACTCAATGAATCTGCTCATGCCTTTTTCTATTGAAAGCTCACACTTTTTTTAAATTAGCTTTCCAAATATTGACTTTACAAAAATTAGATGAAATCAAATAATTTAAAAAGGAAATTAATCTCAAATCAATTTTTTCTTTTTCAAATCAAAAATCAAATCTTAAAAATATATTTGGATTAAAAATAAAACTTTTTAAATCTTCTAACCCAAGGCATGATCATGATTCACCTCATCCAACCATTACATGAAATCTAAGATTTTATTTTATTTTGCAACTTTGATTTTCACGATTTCATGACAAGTGTGTTGCATTCTCTTCATCATGATTCATCACAAATGAAGTCCTGCAACAACTTTTCAAAAACTAAACAAAACTAGATTTGTTATAATCAAAACTAGAGAAGGTGTGGGACCCAACATTTCATACTTTTTTGGGATTTAGGCTTGTAGTTGCTTTGTATCTAATACTAGAAAAATAAAATTGCAAGGCTTGAGTTGGCTACACGACAATATTTTTACTGTAATACTAGGGTTTAAAAAACTTGAAATTAACATAACTTTCAAATTTCACTAAGATGCTAGAAGAGCATGAGCAAAATATTTCAATTCTTTCTCCAAGCTTTATACGAAGGATTCAGCCCAGCAATTTAGTTTTTCAGTGGATGTTTCCTCTTTCCAGAGTGTTAACATTCAATGAGTTGCACAAAGATTTTTGCTAGTGGTTAATACTTGTAGGGCTTACCTGTATAAGATCTTCTTTGGGCTTGATACTTAATGCTAATAAATAACCTTTCTTCTCTTTCAACTGAGTAAACAACAATAAATTGTTGTGACAATCTTTGTGTCCTCTATGTGACTAAGTTGCTGTCAGGTTTGAGTGTGGCCCTAAAAATGTCAGTTTATTAGTCTTTTGGGAAAACTAGGTCTTGCAAATTCATGACCTCCTGCAGTGACTAGGTCTTGCAAATTCACGACCCCCTGCAGTGATTAAGATGTCATCTTTATGTTTTGTAGATAGAGTTGAAAAATGCAAATTTTAACTCGTCAAATAAGTTGGGAAATGTGCCTTCTTTTTTTGGATTATACAGTTCATAAAACTATTATGGTTTTATTTATGAATATTTGATTGATAGAATGATTTATTCAGCAATTGATGGAATGGGAACATTGCTTCTTATGCTACTAATAAGATGAAACTTCTGTTGACAGAATAACAGCAGTGTCCATTTAATTATGATTCGGCCTTAATTGCCCTACTGCTCTTCTGTCTTAGACATAGTCATTTTTCTATCATGGTGTTCATTAATTAACTTACATTTGCTTCAGGAACTTGCAGCTATCATTAAACTGTCAACATACTCTAGCTTTAGCCTGTTTGAATGCCGTAAAGTTGTTACTGGCTCCAAATCATCTGATTCTGGGAATGGCATGTCTTTTTACTCTCCTTGCTTGTTAATATCATTAAACTAGTTGAGATAAGTAGTCTAACCGTTCTTTTATTGTCACTCAGAGGAGTACATTGGGTTAGATGATAATAAACATATTGGGGATCTCCTGGCGGAATTTAAGGCAGTGAAAGATCGAAGTAAGGGAGAAGTTTTGCACTGTAAGCTGATATTCAAGAAAAAGTTATTTCGTGAATCAGATGAAGCTGTAACAGATCCAATGTTTTTGCAATTGTCCTATGTACAAGTATGCCTTTTTGTTTTTTTACTTTATGAATGAAATAAAAGCATATTTAGTTTTTGAATGAAACTGCAATTGCCATCAAGGTATTAATTTGTTGGTGGCTGGATGTGTTGTTACAGTTACAGCATGATTATATTTTGGGTAATTATCCTATTGGAAGGGATGATGCTTCTAAGCTTTCCGCATTGCAAATCTTGGCAGAGATTGGATATGTTAGAAGACCTGAATCATGCGCGTAAGCATCTTTCAATGAACTTCATCTTATTTTGAAGTATCTTCAATAGTGTTTAGAGCATCTTTTGATTGATGTTCTTGTGAGTGAATTTCACATTTTCTAATCTCTTGTGACTTCAAATGACTGAGATTTTTGTATTTATCAGTGACTGGAATTCATTTCTGGAGCGATTTCTGCCTAGACAAATTGCAATGACACGTGCGAAGCGGGAATGGGAGTTGGACATTATTTCTTGCTATCATTCACTGGTATGAGACTGGGATACTTTCTTAAAGAGACTAGATCCATCTGCTTATTTTTCTTTAACCTTCAATCACTGATAAGTATGAGAAATTTCTTCTTTTTGTAGTTTGTGTTATTGGTTTTATTTCAAACCCTTCATTGCACATCTAACATTAGTCATTTTCCACTTATGTATCTATTTTAATTACGGAATTCGATATTTGTTTCTAGTATACTTATTACATTTGATGAAATATACTGCTGAATTTCTTTCTTCTCTGATATAAAATGATGTTTCCTTTTCAGGAGCATATGATGAAAGATGACGCAAGACAGCAATTTCTGCATATGTTGAGAACACTTCCTTATGGGTATTCTGTTTTCTTCAATGTTCGCAAGATTGATGATCCTATTGGACTTCTACCTGGACGAATAATATTGGGAATTAACAAGAGAGGGGTAAGACTGAAAAAATGATTAAATTATAATATTATAAGGTTTAAAACTTTCATTAAATTATTATCAATTGTCCACAGATTCATTTTTTCCGTCCAGTTCCCAAGGAATATATGCACTCGGCTGAGTTGAGAGACATAATGCAATTTGGAAGCAGCAATACTGCAGTATTTTTTAAAATGCGAGTTGCAGGTGTTCTTCACATATTCCAGTTTGAAACTAAGCAGGTATTATTAACACCTTCATTGACATTTTAATCTTCATATTCTTAAGTTGTTCCTTTGGACTTGATTAATGTCTTTGTCACTTTGGAATTATTTAATGTCATTGGCATCCTTCTTTGTAGGGAGAAGAAATTTGTGTAGCTCTTCAGACACACATAAATGATGTAATGCTGCGGCGCTATTCCAAAGCACGTTCCCCTGTGGTTGGTTCTTTGAATGAAGATATTTCTAATAATTTCAAGCCTCCTAATTTGGAATTATATGAGAAGCGTGTTCAAGATTTATCAAAAGTTGTTGAAGAGTCTCAAAGGAATGCTGATCAAGTAAGTCTAAGATTATAATTATGCTAGATTATGCTATGCAGGATGTACAACAAATACCAAACTGAACCATTAAACCTATAGGACTTTTTTTATTAGTTATTGCATAGTAAAAGAAACCTGTAGGGCTTATTTGCTTCCACCTGAAGAGTGAAGAATATTGCTTATCCTAATTTGGTTTTATAGACTAGAGAGCCCCAAGGCTCAAAATTATGCTTTGGTGCTAGTTTTCTTTTCATAGAGTAAGGAGACTTGTTCTTTCTAAAGTTATGTATAGACATGATATGTTAGATGCACGAATCTTTTGATATAAGCCTACTTAGATGTATCAATCAGTTGAATAAAAGAATTTTATTCCTTTACTTTTTAGTATACCTGGAGGGTGAGTCTTGGTGCAACTTGCCTTATGTCCGGGTAGTCACAGGTTCTAGTTTTGGAGAACGTCCCTCTGCTCACAGGGGTAAGGTTGTGTGCATCTGACCCTCCCTAACCCCTACCATGTCGCGAAGTAGGAACCTCATGCACTGGGCTACCCTTTTACTGTTAGGATGTATAATGCACATTTCTCAGTCAATTGTTATAAAATTTTGTATCTTGAATAGTTGCTGGAAGAATTGCATGAGAAGCAAAAACAAGAAGAGGAAATGCTACAAGAATTGGAGGACTTGAAAGAATCCTTGAAAGCGGATAAGCATCGTCTTGCGGAAGTTACAGATGACTGTGATAGGCTTAGATCATTATGCGATGAAAAAGATAAGGCACTTCAGGTAAAGTTTTTAATTCTTAATTGCATGTGATCAGTCTTATTTTTATCCTTTCATTATTGTCCCGTCTTAATAATTATGCAATCTACTAGGCTAAAATTCAAGAGAAAAGAAACATGGAAGCAAAAATGGCTGAGTTGAGTAATCTGGTGATAGAGAACACTATAAAAAAGGACCCAATTGGAGTAAATAACCAGGTAAGATACTTTTTGAAACAGGTTATTCACTTGTTCATTGCTTTCTGATTTATATAGTTTTTTTCAATATTGATGTATGAATTGTGGATTTTGCTGGTACCTAATAGGTGTTACAAAAACTTGAAGATGAGATAAAACTTTGTAAAGATGAGCTGCTTGTAGCTGAAGAGACTGTCAAAAGCTTGACAAATGAAAAGTTGATTTTGGAGCAGAAGCTATCTGTGCTTGAGAAGAAGAATGCTGAAGAGGTAAAATAGAATATTGAATCCTGGTATTTAAAATTAAAATATATAATTTTAAGATGATGCTTAATCAACATCATTTTGGTGGGGGTAATGCAGATTAGTTCTCTTCAACGGAAACTAGAGCAAGAACGCAAAGCTCTGAACTATAAAGTGTATAACCTTGAAAATGAACTGGATGCGTTTAGACAACAATTAGTTGTGGCTGAGTCTAAACTTACAGTCAAGGACTCGGAATTGGCTGCATTGAAGAGCAATATAAAAGAACTAGAAGAATTGAGAGAAACGAAAGAGGTTTTGATCCCCATGTTATTTATTTTCAGTGCTTCTGTTGTATAATAACAAATAGAGGTCTCAACATGCTATGTATATTCACTTTATTTGTGTTAATTTTAAAAAAAAAATTTAAAATTTAGATTTGCTTTATGTAGGACATTGATAGAAAGAACGAACAAGCAGCTTCGATATTGAAGATGCAAGGGGCTCAACTAGCAGAAATGGAAATTCTTTATAAGGAAGAGCAGGTTCTAAGGAAGCGATATTTTAATACTATAGAAGGTGGTTGACAGAAAGTATCATAAAAGAGTTATTATGTCTATGTGAATGTGTGGATTTAAATATATAACTGACATTATAATGACATTGGAATTTGGTTATATATTTCAGATATGAAAGGCAAGATAAGAGTTTACTGTCGGCTAAGACCTCTTAGTGAAAAAGAGATTGCTGACAAAGAAAGAGATGCTCTTACTACTGTAGATGAGTTTACGGTTGAGCATCCATGGAAAGATGATAAAACAAAACAGCACATATATGATCGTGTGTTTGATGGTGATGCCACTCAAGAAGATGTATTTGAGGATACAAGGGCAAGTCTTAGTATAACAACTTAAAAGATCACTTTAGATAATAGATACATTGAAATATATTTAATATTTTCTTACACTCATTACTAATGTTTTTGTTGTGGTCATTTACAATGCAGTACTTGGTGCAATCTGCTGTAGATGGTTATAATGTCTGCATATTTGCTTATGGTCAAACTGGCTCTGGAAAGACATTTACAATCTATGGATCTGAAAACAATCCTGGCCTTACTCTACGTGCTACTGCTGAACTTTTTAGAATTTTAAGGAGAGATAGTAACAAGTTTTCTTTTTCCTTGAAGGTAACAATTGCAAAATGGGGATTAATAAAAATTTCTCTTTGCATTTTAAAAATTTGTTGTCATTAAATCTACTTAATATACATATAATTATTTTGTACGTTTTAAAAATTATCAATGATGCAGGCATACATGTTGGAATTATATCAAGATACACTCGTAGATCTACTGTTACCTAAGAATGCAAAGCGTTTAAAATTGGAAATTAAGAAGGATTCAAAGGTAATCATTCTATTTTATGGTTTGTAAATTTCCATTTCTAGGTATTTTGTTTCTTAAATGCAAATAATTTAAAATTGGATATGTATAAAGATTTAAGCTGTTTCCGAAATTGTGGACTTACAAAATTTCTTATTTTCATGGACTGCTCTCCCAATTGCAATTTATTTTACTCTTATGTCAGGGAATGGTAAATGTGGAAAATGTAACAATTGTATCAATTTCTACTATGGAGGAACTGAATAGCATAATACAGAGGGGATCTGAACGACGACATACATCAGAGACACAAATGAATGAAGAAAGCTCAAGATCTCATCTTATACTATCAATTGTAGTTGAAAGTACCAATCTTCAAAGTCAATCAGCTGCAAGGGGAAAGGTATTATCTATGCGTTACTTGTCCTTTACCTTTGAATGACAGTGTATCATATCCCTTTATTGTGTAACAATTTGAAAATGATGATTTTATAAACTCCAAGCATTGTGGATGTTTACTTATTTTGTGTTGGATTTATCATACAGCTGAGTTTTGTGGATCTTGCTGGTTCAGAAAGAGTAAAAAAGTCAGGCTCCGCGGGTAATCAACTCAAAGAAGCTCAAAGTATCAACAAATCATTATCAGCACTGGGAGATGTTATTAGTGCTTTGTCTTCTGGTGGCCAACACATACCTTACAGAAATCACAAGTTAACAATGTTGATGAGTGATTCTCTTGGGGGTAATGCCAAAACTCTCATGTTCGTGAATGTATCTCCTATAGAATCAAGCTTGGATGAGACGCACAACTCTCTCATGTATGTTCGTTGTTATCTTTTTTCTGAACCTTAAAAAAATATGTTTGACTTTTGAATCTTTAATAGTTTCTTTCTCTTTCCCTTTAATATTTTAATGTTAATTCAGGTATGCATCACGAGTGAGATCAATTGTGAATGATCCAAGCAAAAATGTTTCTTCAAAAGAGATAGCTAGACTGAAGAAATTAGTTGCGTATTGGAAGGAACAAGCAGGTAAGAGAGGGGAGGCTGAAGATTTAGAAGAAATTCAAGAAGACCGACCAACCAAAGACAAGACTGATGGTCGTCATTCTATGTAGTAACTCTAGGCTAATAGGATCTCACAATTGTAATTTTTTTTAGAGGGGTGCTAGCTGTATAGTTTGAATAATGTATATATTTTAAATCTTTCACTCATACTCGTATAAATATATATTTATGCTACCTAAATATAATATTTGTTAAAAAATATTATTATAGTGATGACATGCCAAAAAAGCAAATAAATAAAAGCACTGATATAAGAAAAAACTATAACAAAAAAGAAAACTATCGATGACATGCCATTTTGTAATCATAATAAGGAAAAATAAATCTTCCTGAGAAGTGAGAAGAACCAATATCCAAAGTCCACTTTGAGAAGAAGCGAACAAAGACACGTCAGCAGCAGTTTATTTAATTAGCAATTTATTAAAAAGTGATTAATCTCATTTTATTTTCCTTAATAATGATAATATGGTATTTCCAAAACAGACGAGTTGCGGACAGAAGACGTTTCGCTATGGAATTTCCGGTCATAGAAAAATGGGGGGACAAAAAAAAACAGGTTTCCCTTTTCCATGTATTTTGATTCATTGAAAGGATTTGGGGATTGAATATGTCTTCTCATATTAACAACAACAACGTAAACGCAACAAACAATGTTTGTTGAAGTATGCAAGAACGGACCCACCCTTATATTCTCCGCTTGTCGTTTACACTTTACAGTTAAGGACAGACAATTTGGCTTCAAAGGCAATTAATAAAGATAGGATTTAATATTTCTCCTCTTACTTTCGTATAAAATTTTTGCAACAACACATTGAAAATTAAAATTTACATGCGGATCCTAGCTTTTACAATCTACATGCGGCTTCTATTTTTTTTTTAATGTCAGGATTCGTGTAAATATATTTGATGCAAAAAATTTCATTTGCTATTATTGCAGAAATGATGAACCCACGAAGATATTGACCTCTTAAGTAACGTATTAAAATCATTATATTTTTCTATTAATATCAATTAAAATAATAAATAATATAATTGAATTATAAAAGAAAGATTTAATATTTTTCATATTATAAAGGCTTTAATGTTTCTATAGTGACTTATTTATATTTACTCCTAAAATAATATCGTTTTAGATTGAAAATTAAAAAATTATAATGAGAACGATTATTATAATCTTAAAATAAATTTTAATTATAAAAATATCTTAATTTCTATTTCAAAACAAAGTTATTTTGAATTCAATGTAATGTAGATAATTTATCTTGGTTGACGACAGAAAAAACGAACACATTATCAAAACATAAAAATATGTGGATTCATATAAGTTCACAACGAGAAAAGAGAAAAAAAGAAAAAGAAAATACAAATCTCACGCAGACATATATATATATATATATATATATATATATATATATATATATATATCATATGAAATAAATTTATTGTGAATAGGTGTCTCGCTGCACCATATAAGTTGAAGTGCGTTTTTTATTGCTTTACCTCTCACGCTCATATCCACAAGAACAAAAAAGAATAGAAAATGGAGGAGACCATTCCAGTGATTGATCTTGTGAAGATTTCAGACCAAGTGGAGTGTAACAAGCTAAGAGAGGCATGTGAAAAATGGGGTTGTTTCAGGATCATTAACCACTCTATTCCTGTTACCCTCATGGCGGAGATGAAGGTGGTTATTGGAGCTCTGCTTGACCTTCCTATGGAGATCAAGAAGCGCAACAAAGATGTCATTGCTGGCAGTGGTTACATGGCACCAAGTGCAGTCAATCCTCTTTATGAGGCCTTGGGGCTCTATGACTTGGGTTCCTCACAAGCTGTGCAGGACTTCTGCTCTCAATTGGATGCCACACCTCATCAGAGGTTTGATTACTCTCTAGATCTCTCTCTTCTCTTTTTTGGAATTATTTTGTGGTTAAATTTAATTGACAATTAATTTTCGTGATCCCCCCTCCCCCAAAAAAAAGTTAGAAGGGGGTAGAAAAGTAGAGCTCAAGTTGCTGTTTTTATATTCATGTGGTTGTTAGATCCATAATACATGTTGTACTTGCATTTGAGTTTGATCACTTCAACTTGATGTGACATCGTACAAATTAAATCTAACTAGAAAGGGGTATTAAAAAAAAAAATCTTTCTATGATGGATTAGATTAAAATTGATCTTATTTACTGCATACAGTTTTGATATTTAGCACAGTTTACAGTTTTTATTTTGTTCCCACTTGCGGACAACTTGAATCATTGGCTTTTTTCTTTTCTTAGTTGAGTGTGAACGGTTGATTTTGTTTGCTTCCCAGGCAAATAATGGAGGCATATGGCCATGCAATTTATGATTTGGCAGTAAATATAGGAGAAAAGATGGCTCAATCTCTGGGCATAGTGGGTGCTGATTTCAAGGAATGGCCATGCCAATTTAGAATTAACAAATATAACTTCACCCCAGAAGCTGTAGGGTCCTCTGGAGTTCAATTGCACACAGATTCAGGGTTCCTAACCATTCTTCAAGATGATGAAAATGTTGGTGGTCTTGAAGTGATGGACAGTTCTGGTTCATTTGTGGCAGTCCCTCCTTTATCAGGGTCTCTCCTTGCCAATCTTGGAGATATTGCTCGTGTAAGTATATATAGCAATCAATAATTCTAATAACTAATTCAACCTAACAGCTTGCCTTATATTAATACTTTTATATTATTTTTATGTACTAGTAATTATATAAAAAAATCAATTCAACCCAAAAGCTTAAATTGTTGGATAAAGTTACATTAATAGTTTTATATATTTTTAATATACCCCCTCACAAGAGAACCATTAAATTTGAAAGGTGAATAATGCATCATTTTCAGTCTATCTGTACTAAGAAATTCTATAAAGAAAATAGTGACGGCGAGAATTGAATCTGGACACCAAGGCTCTGATTAAGTTTTTGAGTTGAATTGGTTCTTTACAAATCATTTTCATTTGAACTAAAGACTTAAATTTGGATAATAAAAAAATCTCCTTACCGTATTTGTAAACTATGTGCATGCCCTTGGAATATAAATTCATATGCAGGTATGGAGCAATGGAAGATTTTGCAATGTGAAGCACCGTGTACAATGCAAGGAAGCAACCACCCGTCTTTCAATTGCTACATTTATGTTAGCACCGAGGAACCGAAATGTTGAGGCACCATCAGAGGTGGTGGACCACGATCACCCACGTCTATATCACCCTTTTGTTTATGAAGATTATAGGAAGCTCAGAGTCTCCAACAAGATGCATGCTGGTGAAGCCCTTGAGCTAGTTCGCTTGACCTAGTGATAGGAGCTAGGAAGGTCACATTGCCAAGGAAATTTATAGGTCCATGTTTTTGTTTGCCAATTAATTAAGCAATTAAGTAGAAAGAGAGGGTAATGGTTATATTGTAAGTGATAAGAAACTCTTAAGGATACTAAAAAAAAAACTAACTCCATGTTAGTAGACCTCTTATAGTCATATTTATTTTTACATGGAGTTAATTCATATGGAGAAGGTTATATTTATAAATTTTTTGTTTATAAACTACACTAAGTATGACCGGTCATATTTCAATGACCGGTCATACTTAGTATAATTTGTAAAAAAAGTTTGTAAAGAGGCCCTTCTCCAATTTATATATGGATCTTTATTATGTACTCAATCGACACTGCTATATTAAAGATTACAATATGTTTTGTGAATTGTCTTATTTTTTGAGTTTCCTCAAGGTATCTCCCAATCGACAGCCGAAAACTAATTTTTTCGAAGCGTAGAGATTATCGAAGTAGATTTTGCCTCTACTAATAAAGTATTTTCCATACACACAGTCAAAGATCAAACCCCTGTCATTGTGAATTGTCTTAATTATAGTAAAAAAATAAAAAAAATTTAATGAGTATTTAAATATTAGGTTTAAGTGCACGTGAATTTCAACACTCAACTTTAACTTATCTTTTTTCAGGCGCTCACTACGACTTGCAACTTTCTTTATCATAAGAAAATGATGCAATAGCCCCATACCACTCATTTCATACCTTTTCATCATGTATTCTTTAAATTCTTCAATCATTCTTTGATTATTACCAGTAAAGACCAAATCGTCAACATACGAAGCAATCACAAGAATATTCATACCTTGATTCTTCACATACAAATTTGGTTCACTCGTGCTTTTTTTGAATCCATTGTTGGTGAAGTAGCTATCAATTTGACCTTGCTTTATTTTTCTGAACATACCCGTCTGCATTATGCTTCACTTTGTAAACACATTTGACACCAATGACTTCTCTATTTTTTTAACTATCAACAATGTCCCAAGTCTTATTCTTTTCAATGACTTCTATCTCTTCTTTCATTGCTTTTCTCCAATCTTCTTCTTTCATGACTTCTTCAAAATTTTCTGGTTCAACAAGGCATAAGTTGCATCTTGCATAAATATCACTCAATGATCTCATTTTAATTGGAGTTGAACTAGGTGATGAAGAGCTTGAACTAGGCAAACTTGGTTGTACTTCTGGACTAATTGCATCTTCTCCATCTTCATTTTCCATTAGCTTTTGTTGAAAAATAATCTTGGATTCTGGCACCAGATAGTATAGCCCATCGTGCTCCTTAACACCCCCAATTGTCTTCCCAGTGGCGAGATCCTGAAAAACACAGTGAGTAAGAAAAAAGGTTAAAATGCAATTCAAATATCTAGTAATTTTATGGACAGAAAGAAGATTTGTAGAGAGTTTGGGAACATGAAGAGTATTTTAGAGATGTAAGGAAAGCTTTAAGGATATGTTACCAGAACCCGCAACTAATGTATATGAGCCATCAACTACAGATATTGTATGGGTGTCAACAGTAGGGTTATAAAAGGAAAAAGAGTAAGCACAACAAGCCATATGATCAGTAGCACCAGAATCAATAATCCAAGAATGTTTTAAATTAGTACATGAACTAAGAAAAGAATGAGAAGTGAAGATCATACCATTCATAGCCAAAGCACTAATACTAGATGGCTTACTCAGAGAATAAAGCATGGTCTGAATCCACTCTAACTCATCTCAGCGAATAGAAATAAATTCCAAAGATGCACCATTGGAATTCGTCTTAATGCTAAAATTACCCTGAAGGTATCCGGAAAGTCCAAATTGAGGCAGAATTCTCAGATTTGCCAAAAGAAACCAAAAAGGGCCAAAAAGACTATAACTTGAGGCAAAAAATCACACAAACGCACAATCAAATGATGTCGGATAAAATTAACAAGCACAGATTTAGAAAAAGCAAGAAAAGGAGAGCATAACCGAAGTGGGCGTCACACACAAGGGAATTATGGCGCGTGAGAGTAGAGGTGACAATATGGGTTGAATTTGACTCGTCAACCCGCCAAAATAGGGTGGGTCGGGTTATGCATCTCAACCCACTAACTCGCCCCACTTAGTTATGGGTCAAAATGAGTTGGCGGTGGGTCGAGGCGGGTTTGCCCGCGAGTCATTTTTTTTATACTATTAGGTAGTATTTTATTTGTCACCTAACTTTTGTGATATAACTTTTTTGTATCTTAATACTCCCCTAGAAAAAATAAAGAAGAATTTTTTTTTTTTATGACAAAAGACTATCTATATATAGAGGCAAAAATAAGTTTCTAAAAAATATTTGACATAATATTAGCTTATATTTAGGCTTGAGATTGGAAAAAAACTAAGAGAAATGTGAAATAAAAATAATTAACATTATATAAATTAATAAAATATAATTTATTTATTTAATTTTTAGGCGGGTCGACCTGCCAATAGGGGTGAAACTGGGTCGAGCCGGCCTACAGGGGCCTACGACTCGGCCTACGTCAGGCCAGACCAGACCTAGTATATTTCATAAAATATGCCGGGTTTAGGCTTTGAAAAAGTGTAACACCCCGTTCTAGAACCGGTTTGTTAACATCGCATTATGATATTAAGCGCAGTTACAATCACATTGGCTCAATTAAAAATCCGGATAAATTTTTCTTTTTAAAACGACGCCGAATTTAAAATATCCAATTGCGTGATCATAACCATATTACCTTGCGGAATCAGATAAACCAAGCTTAACATCATGTTCTTATTCCATTTTTAAACCATTAATTTACTTCTTGTTTATTTCACAACTTCTACTATATTGTAGATTTCTTCGTTAGCTACGCGTGGGTTCAAACCGCGCTCAAATCGGAGCACTGTAGCCCAAGTTATGGGTTTTCTAAGAAACGAGCGCGTGAATCCTGCCGATCCCGGCGCGACCGGCGCCAGATGTGGCGCGGCGGGCGCCAGCGAAACAGAAGCTCCCGATCGAAATGGCGCTGGAGGCGCCAAGGTTGGCGCCAGGTGCGCCAGCTGGTGATCCCAGCGCGATTTGCGCCAACGCCGGCGTGATTTGCGCTACGAAACAGAAGCTTTCGAGCAAAATGGCGTGATGTGCGCCAAGGTTGGCGCCAGGTGCGCCAAAGCTCTGAAGGTTTCACCAATTCTTAGTATTTTACCTCTAACTAGAGTTGTACTTGCCCAATTCACACAATATTGGTCTCTATGGAAAGCTAAGAAAAATATCTACAACTTCCATACATACACCACGGTCCAAATCTATCATATAAATTCCTCTCCATAATTGGTTCTTAGTTCTTGCATAATACAAACACATCTAAAGGGACATACATGCCCTTTTCCTCATGGCTTGTACTAAAATTTGGGCAGCATAATCCTTGTTTTCTCAACAATTCCCGGTTTAGAACTAGGTACCTAATATGATTTCTCAGTCCAACCAATTCAATAACTCAATACATAAAAGCATGCATATATTGAATTTCAAGTAGGCATCATTTACAGTACATATTCATTACAAATCATGGAACTTAGCTTACAAAACACTATGATCATTCCCTTGGCTCCCATCAAGAAAAGAAATGACCAAAGGCATGAGCATAGGCTAAGTCCATTCCAATATACAAATCATAAATCTATCATTGCCTATTAATTACAATTCTATACATGTGAGCTACAAAACAACATGTATAATCTCAAAAATTGCAACACTTCATGCATATGCTAATCCAGATATGGCCACTTGCCACTGGTGGCTCCTGCAGCATCCTTACCTGAAAGGGGGGTCCCCACAACACGGGGTGAGATATACGAATATATCCAGTAAACCAGGGGTCCTTGGAGCATCTCTCCACCCCACAGTTCCATATCAGTGTAATAGCAATAACAATAATAATGCAGTAAATACATATCCATGCAAAGTGCAATAACATCTCCAGGAGAAATCCCTCGAGCTCTCAAGCTGTCCGAAGGAAACTCAGATGCAAATAGTCCTACTGGCCAGCTAACTACCAAGTATGATTTACGCATCGTCATGCCACATACCAACATAGGGAAACACCATCCTATGCCACACCAAATGCATACACATACGTATAACAAAGCATTACACTATTTTATTGCATTTATATACACTATAATCACCACTACCCTTTCAGGGCTTGGTGGAACAATCAAGGGAATTACACCCAAGGTCCGAAGGCTTACCTCAAAGCTTCCGTTCAACCTTTGTTCACCACCAACGGTTCAGCAACCAATCAACTTTCAACTACTCAATTCAAAACACAACACAAGTATGAGCTTACCTATTCCAAGGAGCTAGTCAAGCTCCATAGTTTGCTCCAATGGTTGATCACTCACGGTTGGTCCAAATGTCTCAATCCTAGACATCACAAGGATCCAATCATCAATCAACCAAGCCAACCCATTGATCATAATTGCAAGAAAACTCTTCAACAAGCATGATAATCTTGCAATATACCAAGTATAGTCATTTAACTAACTAGGCTCATTTTCACCGATTAAATGACATTCCTAGCATTTTCCATAACATGCTCTAAGCTCCATTCTTCCTAGAACATAGCTAATTTAACAACATTTCATCAAAACCCCAATTTACTATTCATTGAACCCTAACTCATGCAATTTTTCATGAAAATAAGGTTCAAGGGGTAGAATCTTACCACCAATGGTTGCACAACCAAGGATTGATGGCTCCTCAAGCTTCAATGGAGGTTGAAGCCCTCAAAACCCCAATTTTCACCAAAGGGCCGAATTTTTGAGAGTCAAAATCTCTCTCCACAATGCTCCCCACTCAAAACTAAGCTTAGATTATGAAAGAGGGCGAGATTCTAAGCGATTTAGGCTTTTGAATCACCCAAAACGGTCAAGGTTTGATCTCTCTCTCTCTTCCTCCCTTCCTTCTCCCTCCTTTCTCCTTCTTTTCTTCTCTTCTGGCGTCGACGGGGGATGGGGGAAAATGGGTTCTTTTTGGCTTTTAGTCACTTAACATAGGTTAAGTGGCTTTAAGCGGGTATTGGTTCGTCTATCTATTCAACTCCAATAATTACCAAACTTTACCCAAAAGTCTGGAATATTATTCTAGGAATATTACTATTTTTATTTTTATATTTTGGGTACTTTTGCCAGTACCCATTTATACCCCTTAATTTTCACTGAGTACACTTTTTAACTCCAAAGTGACTCAGATTCATTTAATTAAGCATTATACTTAATTTCACTCAGTAAAACATGCTTAATTAATTAATTACACTTGATTTACTAATTAATTAAGATGGGCTATTATAAAAAGTTTATTTAATAAAAAGGCTGTAGGCTCGCATTCACAAGGCCTGGCCTATAAGCCTACAGGCCGGCCTATATTGTACTATTTATTTTAAATAAAATAAAATATAATAAGTATGCCTTGAAGAAAAATAAAAGATATAAATGTAATCAATTGCAATTATTTATAACTTAATTATATTTTAAAATAGAAATATGACTTTATTTCTTATGTATGAGGAACCAACATCTCAGGATGTTAGATTGTATATATGAATATATTAAAAGGTTTTTGAGAGAGATTATACTTACTACAAGCATCATGATGTGTTTGTTGGATTCATGTAGTTATTTTAATTTACATGGTATGGGTTTATTTGTTGGATCTGATGAAATATATGTAATTTAGTTTGAGCATTTTTCTTTTGAAAGTGACTTAAATACAGATTGTATGAGTTTTGTTGTGATTCATGATTCTATTTAGACGTTGAAATTATGATTTTTGGTTTAGCAATAGAATTTGAGTATTTTATAAAGTTTCTTCATAGTTCTGTTTGGAAGTTAAAAATTAACAGGCTAACGGGTTAGGCCAGGCCATTTGTTTTTTTTAATAAACGAGTCAAATCAGGCTAACAATTAGACTCGTACTAGGCTTGGGCCAAGCCAAATTGAAATTTTTTGGCGTAGGATTGGGCTTTTCGGGGCAAAGCTTGGCCCAGCCCAGTTCACCCCTACCTGCCAACCCACCATAAAACGTGATGAGTTGGGCTTTTTAACCCATATTCAAGAGGCGGGGCGCGGCAGGCCAACCCGTTTTTGGCGAGTTGGCGACGGGTCGGGGCGGGCCGACCATTTTGCCACCTCTACGTGAGAGTGCGTGGGAGGTCTGTCGGAGTTGGGCTTTTCACGACGAGGTTGTCCAGCGGTTGCGATCCTATCTGTGGTTGGTCGAAGTTCAAAAGCTCACTGGAACAGTGTTTTGCGGAGATGAATAGGGGCACAAACATTGTTTTTGGGCTGTTTGGGTCGTATGAATAGTGTCTTGGGGCTGTTTTGTGACTGGGAAATGTCCATAAATTGATAGATTTGGGAAAAAGAAGTCTAACGATGGTCCTCTCAGTCCAAAAGTTTTTGGGTGGCGACGAGAGGCAAACAAATAGGGTTCCACTCCAACGGTGACAGTCGTAGAAGTAGAGCACTCAAAATCGAGAACTCTGATATCAACTTGAAAAGGGAATGGATAATATTATATTGAAAATTATATATACAACTGTACAAAAGGTTCTCTATTTAAAGATAATGAATGACCAAATGTGCTAAGCCCAAAGAAGATTCTATAATAAATTAATAATACAACTATTATGTACAACAACCACCATAGACACACATAACTCTTGAGAAACTTAAAAGAAACAAAACTTAACATTAAAGCTAAAATACTAAAACAGCCTTGGCACTTAAACTAAATTAAATTGACACATTGCTGTAACATAAAGGCGGGTGCTGAGTAGACCAGAGAGTTGCTATATGAGAATTCAACATGCAAAGAAGAAGATAGTGTATTAGTGGTAATGGGCAGTGGCTTAGCAGCAAAAAATATTAGCTCGTGCCAAAAAATTTAGCCTTTATTATCACTTCATCTGTTTTGCATAGCTGTCAAGTTTTAGCCTCTACTCATGCCAAATTCTAACAAGTTTGAAAACTAGCTGGTGCCTTGACACGAGCTAGCCCCAATGTGGTTCCACCACTGGTAATGGATGTGTATTGAGAAGTGGTTGTTCCTGATATGTCAATTGCAACGCTTTCTAGATCCATAGCTGGCCACACAAAAGATGGTTTGAATGGTGGCACATGAGGCACATTCACTGACCCAGATATGATTTGAACAATGTTTTGCATTTTTGGTCTCTCACATGCAATAGGATGAGAGCATGCAAGTCCTAATTTCAATATCCTCTCTGCCTCTTCAACCACATAGTCATTCCCAAGTCTAGGGTCATTCCCAAGTCTAGGGTCCACTGCCTCTAGTATCCTTCCTTCACGATGCAAGTGCCACACCCAATCCACCAAAAACTGATACCCCTCAATCTTTGTCCATGGCTTTTGACCACACACAACCTCTAGTAGGACAGCCCCGAATCCATAAACATCTGACTCACGTGTGGCCTTGCCTGTGTGAAAGCATTCTGGTGCTATGTATCCCATGGTGCCATGCACTCCTTCCAACTCTGCGTATGATGTTCTCTCATTCTCCAATGCACGTGCCAAACCAAAGTCACCTAAACGTGCATTGAAGTCTGAGTCCAGCATGATGTTGCTTGCTTTAAGGTCTCTGTGAACCACTTTCTGATCATACTCGTTATGTAGGTAATTCAATGCAGAAGCCACCCCTGATATGATCTTGTATCTTAGATGCCAACCCAGTGGGGTAGTGCTTGTCCCTTCCTCACAGAAAATGTGTTTGTCCAAGCTTCCATTAGGCATGTAATCATACACTAAGAGCAATACCCCGTTTTTATGGCACCATCCTGCATATTAATTCCAAATTACTAAAGTCAATTGCCTAAATAAAAACATTGATATATATTATATGACGGAAATGGCAGATAAAACTATTGACATTGGCCACATTTTAGTTTTATATTATACAAGCTGGCAATGCCTTTAAGTCCAAGGAAAGCTGAATCGGTATGTGCATTTGAAGATAATGACTTCGGCTTTTTATCATACTAAAATTACAAAGACTTAGGGAAACACGGGCCGGCCGAATGGTTGTGACTGTGACCTCAACTAGAAAAATAATAAACTTCGTTGACAATGCAATAAGATTATGTTGGAAATTCAAATTAAAAAAAAGAAGATTACGCAGGGAAGTTTTTGCCTTAGTCTAGGATAAGGGGGACAAAGGAAGCTTCAACGAATCATCTTTCACTACGGGGCCAAAAGGGCTGAAAAAGTTCTCTAATGGAAGCGCAATTAATATTCACCAAGGACAGAAGGAATAAAAGATCACTTTCAAAGCATGATTCGGGCCAAATATCACGAGCAAGGCCTTCTAAAAGAAGTTCTCTATTTAGCTATTATTCATTTATCCTAAATCCTAACTCCTAACTCCTGACCCTAATTTCTTCTTTTGTGCACTGCTGCTTCTCAGTTCTCATCCTAAGAGCACCAATTCATTTGTCGAAAATTCTAATTAGAAAGAAAAAAAATTTAGGCCATATTGTCACCCAAATTTGTTGGTTTCATATGATTTTATTGGTTTCATATTATTTTTATAAATAAAACATAATTGGTAGGCCTAAAAGGCATACAAGTCATGTTAGGTTTATTATTTTTTAACAGTAAGTTAAACCTGACTTATAAACTAAATCTTTAATAGGTTAATAAACTAGATAGGCTCAACATATTTTACGTAAACTTGGCCATGAAAGCTAAAGTCTGAGCGAACCTAACTATTTACACCCATCTGTAGACACCATCAACTATAGGTGGTCAAAATTTTCGCCCCACAGAATTTCATCAATAATGGCCTCCTAACTAATCCAACATATTGGTGTCAATTAATGTCAGATCTAAACTCGAATTTAAAAAGCGGTACACGAAAGTGTAAGAATTTCTGCCAAATCGAACATAAACGAAACAAAACTGTTGATAGAGCACGTGAGTGGAAGTAATTAAATCAGGAAGGAAAACTATGTTCATTATAAGAATTAAAAAAGAACTGAATCATTATTCTTCAAGCAGTGGAAAGGGAAACTTTACCTAGTAACCGAACAAGGTGTTTATGACGGAGACGATTAATAATGGTGAGCTCAGCCAAGAAATCATCAGTGCTTTTCATCTTGTCCCTCGAGAACATCTTAACAGCCACTTCCAACTTCTCCTTCAACAGTGTTCCTCTATAAACAACACCATACCCACCTTCTCCAAGTTTGAGCCTTTCATCAAAATTGTTTGTTGCTTTCTTCAATTCCTGGAACCTAAACTCTCTTGGTGTTCCCGGAAGGCTCTTGAGGGTCCCAACAATATGAGAATCAGAGTCACTTTCCCTTCTTTTCCTGCTTACATAATAATAAACCAACACAACAACACCAACCACAACAAGAATCACCAGAGGCGCCCCAACCCCCAAACCAATCTTCAACAAGTTCCCATCTTTACTCTTATGAGGAAAAACCTCAATAGATATATTCCATCTAAGAACACAGTTCAACTCATAGGTTGTCCCAGTTGAAGCAGAGAACCCAAAATACGACCACTGATTCACCAAACTTTTGAGATCAAGAGCCGAACTCAACACAGGCTTCGTTGGTTTCGCTACAATGGGAGCGTTCTTATCATCCTGCGCCGCCATGTACACATCAATCACCTTCCGTACACCGTCGTACTCCACCCACAGCGCGTAGAACTTAGGAACGTTGGGAGCGATCTGAAACCCAAACGGAGACAGCGGAACACTAACTTTGTGACGAACGCTGTTGATGTCGAGTCCGATGTGGTTGTTGTCGGGGTCAAAGTCCTGTTTCACGGTGTCCAATTCGACGGCGACGAATTGGTTTGTGACGTTACCGTCGGTGGTGGCGTTGGTGAGACCAAGATACTGACCGTAACTGTTGAGAGGGATCGAAAGAGAAGGTGAAATAACGAAGGCGAGACCTTCACCTGGGGTAGCGTTGTTGACGGGAAACACGTTGACGAGGTAGGAGGTGTTGAAGGAAGCTAGTTTTCCGTTGAAGTCACCGTTGTCGTCGTCCCAGAGCTGGAACCGCTCGTTGAAGAGGACTCTGCCGGAGTTGTTGGTCAGATTGACGTTGTTGCTGTCCGGCGTGACTTGGAGGGCGCCGGCGCCGAGGTTGTTGATCGTTGCAGAGGCTATAGTGTTGAACATGTTAGAGTTAGAGGAGTTGAAGTAACCAAAGACGTGATTTTCTATTTTGAGAATCTGGGCTTGTCTTGTCGCCTCCGGGAACAGCAGCAGAATGCTAATGACGGCGGTGAAGTATCGCCGTGGAGACATGTCAGGCTTGTGGTGGCTGCATTGGAACTGAAGCATAGCTAGCTAGCAATATTTGAATAATCAATAATCAATAGCTAGCTAGCTTCCTTCTTTACGTTTGCTAATTTTCTTGGAACCTTCCATCTTTGAACTCAATATTCATAATCAACTTTTATTTTATTTTGCATTCCATAAAAAAAAATATTTTTTTTATAATGTATGATGACGACGTTTTTAATTGAAGTGGTTATATAATAATCTAATCTGCACAGTTTTGTGATCTTCTTCTCTCTTGTAGAGATAAAAAATAAAAAAAATAATGGGAGTTATTAATCTTACGACAAATGAAATAAATATTTTAAAAACAAAGTTGTGGGCCAATAATTTTTAAAATAATATAAAAATAAAAGAAAAAATAAGCATAAGATTCCATAAATGTGTAATATAAAAATACTATTTTATGTGACATAACACACTTATTTCCCATAAATAAAAGTTGCCTTTGAAACTAAGAATTTTATTCCTTTACTGTTTAGTATACATGGAGGGCGAGTCTTGGTGCAATATTGTCTTATTTTCAGTTAGTCACAGGTTCTAGTTTTGGAGACCGTCCCTCTGCTCACAGGGGTAAGGTTGTGTACATCTTACCATCCCTAATTAACCCCTACCATATATGTCGCGAAGTAGGAACCTCATGCAGTGGGTTACCCTTTTACTGTTAGGATGTATAATGCACATTTCTCAGTCAATTGTTATAATATTTTGTATGTTGAATAGTTGCTGGAAGAATTGCGTGAGAAGCAAAAAGAAGAAGAGGAAATGCTACAAGAGTTGGAGGACTTGAAAGAATCCTTGAAAGCGGAATAAGTATCGTCTTGCGGAAGTTATAAATGAATGTGAAAAGCTTAGATCAGTATGCGATGAAAAAGATAACGTGTTGGAAAATTTTATTTAGCAATATAAATTAATTAATTCTGTGTTTGTAAAAATTAATTGGGTTAATGGATGTCCCAATTATATTATTTTAATTAGCTTATTGTAATTATATTGAGTTGGGCTTTTGGCATATGTTGTTATTGGACTTAGTTGGACAGCATTATAGACTTTAGTGTGACCCTGAATTTTCATGGTGAGTGAGTGGACACAAACTCTTTTCAAGAATTTGGCTAGATCCCCTCTTCACCAAATGCTTGCTCCGAGGACCAAAATATCACACCAAAGATTTATTCACAAATCACACCTAGGCTTGAAATCACTCAAGTCTCCAAATCAATATCCATTGGCTCCTCCAATCTTGATCAATCAAGTGTCCACAAGTCTCAATCCATAAATAGCTTCACAATGGCTCAAGGAATGTCTTCCAACTCCCAATAAGACAATGCACCACCTCTAGCTTTTTGGACAACTCAAAAAAACCACTTTCTCCAAGGGATTTCTCTACACAAAAGGTTCCACAATGGATTCTAAGGCTGGGGATTTGTTCACACAAGAATCTTATACATTTTTGCTTCCAACAATGTTTGATTCCATTGAGTATAAAAGAAACTCAATTTTCAAGGGTTCTTTAAGGCTCTTTAATGGTTTCCCTCGATTTGGTAAAGAAGAAAATGAGTTTGGTGAAGCAAGGAAGTCAATTAAGTGAATTTTAACAAATTTTACATCTGCTCGTTGGGCTCCTCGCTTCAGCGAGCAATTACAATACTCGTTGAATAGCTCGTTTCAGCAAGCATGCCTGGGAGGAGTAATTGACAAAGATTTTTAACATAGTTTCCTACTTTCTCACTTAATCAAACACAACCACTCAAATTGAGTATTTATTTCATAAATCTCTCCCAATATTTATTTAATTTATTAAGCCTCTTACTTAATTAATCTCCATCATGCATGATTAAATCCAATGCAATTTGACATTTTACAAATTAAAGTTATTATATACAGTATTTCTCAACCTTTGACCTTGAGGACAGGGTCCTTAAATTAGGGAGAATATTGATATAGGCCTAACCCACAAAGTTTATTCGCGCAAGAGGTACAAGGCCCAAGTGAGCCATGCTGAGTCAACAATCAATTTGTTAGACAGGGAATGTTTTGTTACTGGTGTTGAATAGAAAACGGTTGGAGTGGGAAGAGGGGAAATAAGTAGGAAAGGCGTGGAATGAGAGGGACATTTGGAGAATGGATTGGAATTGAACCTGGAAGGGACTAGAACCTCTAAAACTGCTCAAGGGGTTCATTGCACTATTGTTTGTATTTTCCTTACTGTAATCTGTATCAAAACTTGTTTAGTGTTGACATTTCCAATAACATAAGTCTTTGTTGTCTTTCTATTTCTCTGTATTGAGTGAAATCCCTATCAGATTCACTTGGGGCTAATGCCAAAACTCTTATGTTTGCATATCTCCAACATAACCAAGCTTGGATGAGACGCATAACTATCTCGTGTATGTTTCTTTGATCCTTGTTATCTTTTTTCTGAACTTAAAAAAGAAAAGTTTGACTTTCAAATTTTTTAATAATTTCTCTCTCATGTTCTAAATCTTGCTTTATATTGTTATACTGATTTAGGTATTGTTCTCTGTGAAAGACAGAGATGTCCAACCGGTGACTGGTATATTTTATGTAGGATCTAGGTGCCTTCTATCCAGTATCTATGAATGAGATACCCTTGCGGGTAGGCCGATCACTGTGCACAATAATACTCGACATAGTCAAGGCGTGGGGTGTGTGCACAGTGACAAGCTAAGAGAGAGGGTTTTGAGAGTGTGTACCTTATTGGTTTAACCCTTTATTTATAGAAGGGTTACCTGATAGGAGTGTACTGTCGTGCCTCTTAGGAATATTGAGGGCCCAAGTCCGACTGCTTAGCTGTCTGGATAGGATTGTCATTAATAGGAGATTCCCTTCCTTTTGTGCTGTCCTTTATTGGTCCTTCTAAAATATGGGTCTTTGTCAGGTCCATAACAGGTATGCATCACGAGTGAGATCAATTGTGAATGATCCAAGCAAAAATATTTCTTCAAAAGAGATAGCTAGATTGAAGAAATTGGTTGTATATTGGAAGAAACAAGCAGGTAAGAGAGGAGATGATGAAGATTTAGAAGATTTAGAAGAAATTTCATAAGACAGACGAACTAAAGACAAGGTTGATGGCCGTCATTCTATGTAGTAACTCTGGGTAATAGGATCTCTTGTAATTTTTTTTAAAGGGATGCAAGTTGTATAGTTGAAGGGTTCATTTAATCTTGTGTTACATGAGGGATCTTCTCTTATGTTGTAGAGATACATATGGTGAGGTCCGCCATTTAAAGGAAAAAAAGAGGAGTGTCACGGTTTTCGATGAGTGTATAGGAGATAAAACTACTCTTATGTTGCATAAGAGTAGTTTTCCTATAGTTGAATCATGAATATGTTTTAAATCTTTCACTCATTCACATAAATACTAGTCTCTCATGTTGTAAGAAACTAATATCTCATGTCATAGATACAGAGTATGTGGGCCTATTCATTTATTTATTTATTTTTTAAAAAAGTGAACCACATATGTTTTGTGCCTATGACAAGATATATGAGTCTCCTACAACATGATACTAATATTTTCCAAATATATACCTTATGCTATCTAAATATAATATTTGTTAAAAAATATATTATTATATGGGGAAAACATTTCTGCAGCTACTTTAGATAAGGTTGTCTGCAGCTACCCTTTTTTCATTAAGTACGACCGGTCGTATATTAAAATTGCATTTTCTCTCTCTGCCACGTCAGCCGATAATGTCTGAGGAAAGAGAAAAAAAGAACAGCTTTATTGTTATAACTAGGAGCCTGTTTGGATCATCTTATTTTTAAGCTAGAAGCTACTTATAAGCTAAAGCTAAAAAAAAGAGCTTAAAAAAATAAGCTAAAAACTGTTTGGAAATTACATAAAAAAATTTAGCTTAAAAGCACATATTTCAAGAAAATTATCTCTCTCTCTCTTTATCACTCTTCATTTTGAAAAAAAAAAACACACAATTCAAGAAAGACAGATAAGAGCTTAAAAAAAAGCTCCTCTCAGGGGCTTTTAGTTTTCAGCTTTTTTCTTCATTATAAAAAAAAAGAGCTTTTCGTTATAAGAGTTTTTCCCAAAACCTGTTTGGCCTAACTTATGCTTATAAACAGTTTCTAGCTTAAAAAAGAGAGGATCCAAACAGGCACTAAGTACGACCGGTCGTACTTAGTGAAAAAAGAGCAGTTGTAGACAACTTTATCTAAAATGACTGTAGAAATACTTTTCTCTTATTATATACTTATTTGACATGACATGCCAAAAAAGTAAAAGAAAATAAATAAATGCACTTTGAGAAGAAGTGAGAAGAACCAATATCCAAAGTCCACTTGGAGAAGAAGCGAACAAAGACACCACTCAGCAACAATTTATTTAGTTAGCAATTTAATAAAAAGTGATTAATATTTTTGTTTTTTCATGTAGAATTAATCTCCTTTTAATTTTCCTAATTATGGTAATATGATTTATCTTAGGGAGTTATTAATCTTATGTCAGATAAGATAAATATCTTATGTAGATGAAACAAAGTTGTGGGTCCACAATTTTTTAAAAAATATAAAAGAAAAAAAATAAACATAAAATTTCATAAATATACAACATAAGATAGTTGTCTTATGTGACATAAGATAACTATTTCTCTTTATGTTAAATCTTAATAGTATAATCTTTCCAAATCATTCCATGCATTGGGAGGAGTTATTCTATAGACCGGTCCTATATAATTGACAAATGCTCCATCTCACATGCAAAAAACAAAAACAGAAAACAAAAGAAAAGGTAGAGGTAGAATAGTAAAAACAAAGTGTTGACTGTGAGTGGGATCACGAAAATATAAAATGAGCCGAGATTGCGTAAAATTTTTTCATTCATTAGAATCAGAACCAAGTCCAACCAAAGTCCTTTTGGGAATCAAGGGAGTCTCCAAAACAGATGAGTTGGAGACAGAAGACGTTTCGCTCTTGAATTTCCTATC